TCACCTCATTTCTCATCTTCCACACAGACCACTTCAGAATTAGAGGCACAACCTTCTATATTTTTCTCTCCATTTTCTTCATCCTCACTCCATCCCGCTATTGCAATACCTCAGCCATTAATCCTGGTATTGCCCACCATTTTATCACACCAGACCATAATAACCAAGTCTATAGGAAATGAAGAAGAATATGATTTAAAGACTCTGCTTCATTTCTACAAAACAAACATAGAATATTAGCATTATCATTTAAAACTCCAATTCTCTGCACGATGACAGATGCTTTGATTCTTCCAATCCAAGCTAACCAACAGAAAAACTTCACCTTAGGAAGAGCGACATTTCCCCATACCAACTCAGATATTCTAAGTGCGGAGTCCCTATCTTCCACTTTCCATCTCCAAATTGAAGCTATAAAAAACAACCCACATGAAGATGTTGTCCACCTCAAGGAATCCTCCACTGAATCTCTAACAATTGGGGCCTCCAACAACAGAGCATCCAACCTCCCCACCTCTTCCATTTCCCAAGCAAACAAAGGTCTTCTAAACTCCAAAACCTAATGGCTTGAATTACTCCTTCTCAGACTAATTTGGTTCAGAGAGACCTCCTTCTCCACAGAAATATTAAACAATCTAGGAAACTCCTCTTTGAGGATTATATTCCTAAACCACTTGTCACTCTATAATTTAATTCTATTCTCATCACCAACCACAATGCTTGCATTTTTCTTAAAGAACTCCACTAGTTGTGGGTTAGAATAAGCAAGATTCATAATACTCTGACACAGTGTAAAAACCACACCTAAACCCCTCAGAAATGGTAACCACCTCCCTCTAGAAGAACCACATTTACTGCATAAAATCTATTTCCATAGTGACCTGTCTTCAACCCCATATCTCCACCACCATTTCAAGAGCAAGAAATCATTCACTTTTGTAATATTCCTCACCCCAAGACCACCATGGCTTTTGGGCTTAGTTACCACCTCCCAACTGACCATATGCACTTTTCTTTTTGTTTTTGAATCTCCCCAAAGAAAAGCGGTTTGCAGCCTATTAATCTTCTTAGTCACACCCTTAGGTACTTTAAAAATAGACATGTAATAAATAGGTAAATTAACCAAGACTGATTTTATTAAAGTTACTCTCCTAGCAAAAGAAAGAAGTCTCCTTTTCCAAGATGACAGTTTCTTTTTAACCTTCTCCACTACTGGCTGCCATGTTACTAGTTTCTTTGGATTTGCTCCAAGAGGTAGTCCCAAATACTTCAAGGGAAGCTTCTGACTCATGCAATTCAATTTTACTGCGAACTCATTAACCAGATTATCCTCAACACCAATCCCACACACCACACTTTTGTGAAAATTAATTTTCATCCCAGACATAACTTCAAACACCTTAGTATTCTCTTTACTATTACAATCTCTTCCCAGTTTGCCTCACAGAAAATAATGGTGTCATCCGCAAACTGTATGTAAGAAATACATAACTCATTTGTTCCAACCCTGGCCCTTTTAAATAAACCAATTTCTTTTGCTCTTTCTAGTAATAAATTCAAACCTTCAGTAACAATGTTGAATATGAAAGGGGATATTGGATCCCCTTGCCTAAGACCCCTTTGAGGAGAGAACTCATTTGTAGGTGATCCATTAACCAACACAGAAATCCTAGCAGATGTCACACAGCACTTCAGCCAACTGATCCATTTGTCACCAAATCCAAAATTTGCCAACAAGGAGAATAAAAAGTCCCAATTCACTGAATCGTATGCTTTCTCAAAGTTAAGCTTGAGTATTATTCCTTTCAACTTATTCACTTTCCACCAATCAATTATTTTATTCGCAATCAAAAACCCCATCCAATATAAATCTTCCTCCCAAGAATGTCGATTACACCTCTCCAACCACCCTAGGCAATAACTTTTTCAATCTCCTAGCCAACACCTTAGCTAGAATCTTATAAGCAGAGTTGACTAAACTGATTGGCCTGTAATCACCTAACCCATTTGGATTATCCTTTTTAGGAATCAAAGTGATAAATGGGCTATTGAAACCTTTAACCAACTTTCCATTAGAATGAAAATCTTGCATTAGTTGTACAATTTCACCTTTCATCAATTTCCAACACTTCTGAATGCAAGATTGTAATAACCCCGACCCGTAATTAGCTACTAATCCGTAATTAATGATGCTAATGAGAGGATTAAAATAAATTATGTGTTTATTCTGTATTTTGCATGATATTTGGCTTTCTATCTGTTGCATGTAGAAATATCTGTTTGGATTTTCCACTTTAATATGTAAATTGAAAGCCTTATCGGCATTTGAAAACGAAATTGACTACACCGATATGTTATTTGGAATTTTTAGAACCATATGGCAAATGTTATTAAAATTTGATTCAGTCTTATTAATTAAGTCGTGTTTGGTTAGCCTAATATTCTAATTAGTGTGTTTTTAGCATTATAGCTATACATATGAGCCTTAAGCTCATTTGAGCTCATTTCTTTCATTTCCTTTAGAGCAAAAATCTGAGATTTCACCTTGAAGAGAGAGAGAGAGTGCATTCTAGAGAGAGAGAAGAAGACATTGAAGAGGAATTAAAGGAATTCACCAAGATTGTGCAAGTACCTAGCTAATTCAAGACTCTAGGTAAGATTACAACCTCTAGATTGTGTAACTAAGTCATTTAACATGAAATTTCTTCAAGAATATGAGTTTGAATGTGTATATTGAGCCTAGAATAGAGTTTGAGTTGCAATTCATGCGTGCATGTCCATTTTCTTACAAATTGAGCATGATTTCCAAGAATTCTCTCTTGCATGTTTGAAATTCATCTTCATTTAGGGAAATCATCAAGTTCCAAGTTGTTTTGTGGGGTTTGATCATGTTTTGAGGAGTTGGATACAAGAAAAATTCATGCATGTTGTGTTCATGAACATTCATCATATTTTAAGTTGAAAATGTGAGCTTTTGATAAAACCTTGGGCCATGATTTTATGAAATGATCCTAAATTCTTCATGTTTTACAAGTTTACTATGTTATCTCAAGTTTTGGGGCCTAAGAGATGTGTTTTGGAAGATTGAATTCGAGTTTTGAGCTTGGTAATCAAATCTGAAAACTCCAGAATTTGCATCCACGCTTGAGCGTGGGAGTTTATGCTTGAGCGACCACTCTGAGTGCGTGCACTCCGCTCAAGCGAGCAAAAGTCCGCTCGAGCGTGAATTGCAAGCACCCAAAAGTTCCATGTCGTTTACAGATCACTCGAGCAAAGGAATGTGCGATCGAGCGACCATTCACATTTTGCATGTCTGCTCGAGCGTGGAAGTTGTAGCTCGAGCGTAAATTGAGACCAACCAATACTTTCTCCGAGTTTGCAGATCGCTCGAGCGAAGGAAGTCTCGCTCGAGCGATCCCTCTCATTTTGCATGTCCGCTCGAGCGAGGAAGTCTATGCTCGAGCAGGGACCTTATTTTTAAAAAATTTGCCTAAGTGTTCCAACTCATGTTTTGACATCCTCATTGCATCTTAGGCATTCCTAAGACCTAATTAAGCTTTGATAATGAGGTTATGGATTAGAAACACACTAAGGGATTAGAAACACACTAAGTGAAGAATGTACTAAGTTATGAGATTCAAGAGTGTGTTTTGAGCAATGTGTTAAGCAAGAAACTTATGTAAAGTAAGCTAAGCCGTGTTGGCCACATGAATGTGTAATGATAAGACATGCTTGTGTCATGTATTTTGTGATTGTAAGTCAAGACTCAAGGATTGATTGACCGCTTACTGGAACCACTGTGAGTAACGTTATCGTAAAGATACGTTTATATGAAATTATGTTCCAAATGAAATGTGATAAGCTATGATTTCTGAAATGATATCTATTTACGTGAACGAACATCCCAAATTTGAAATCTATTATGGCATCCATAGATAGTTCCAAGTCATGGGGGACGGCATGAAAATGCGGGTCCATGACATACAAGTAATTACGAGATCTCGTTAGCCACTTCATTGTGGTGATATGTGTTTAATCGGTATCCGGAACCAGTTACTCTAGTCGAAAGACGTTCTGTAATGTGTTCTATGGGATGTACCATTATTATGTTCTGATATGAGAATGATTATGCTATGATCTGTTTTCTGCTTATGATATGTTCGGATTTCGTTCACTAACCTCTTTACCTTAATGTTATCCACTGGGTTTTAGCTCACTGTTTGTATATATATATATATATATATGTATAGGTGAGCATTCTGGAGTTCAAGTCTGGAGACTTTTTGTCTGGATCTGTGTTCTGTTGTCAGCTAGCCATTGTGCCTCACGTGGAGGTTCCCAAAGTGTCTTGTGTTCAAGTTCTGTTGGTTCTGTGTATATATATGACTTGATGTAATTCTGTTGGCTGTACTTTAGATACTTTAATGTGTGTGGGTATAATGTATGATTGACTTTTGACTATGTATATAAAGTTTTAAATATTCTGTTTCATATAAGTCAGCACAGCTCATTGGACAACTATATTTATATAATTGCTTCCGCTAGCCCCTTATTATATGCTTATCTGTTCAGAGGCCTTCGGTGATCTAAGGATTACTGGCCGGTTACGATGCTAAACCTATAGGGGCGGGTTTGGGTCGTGACAAAGATAAATTGAACCCATCTGGTCCTGGGGCTTTATTGCCATTACACTCCTTCAAAGTAGACCAAATTTCCTCCTCTATGAAAGTTGTTTCAAGTTCCTCCACTTCATCCCTATTTGCAATAGACTTGAACTGACCAGAAAGCTTTGGTCTATTGCTACAATTTTCAGAATATACCCCTTTGAAATGTCTAAACACTGCTTGCCTTACCATATCAGGCTCCATTAAACACGACCCATTTACTACTACTACATCCAATAAATTTTGACTATGTCTTTTGTTTTCCATTACATGAAAGTACCTGATGTTTTTGTCCCCTTCTTGAGTCCATTTTACTCTCGAATTTTGCTACCACATCTATTGTTTTCTCTTGCTTAACTTCCACACTAAATCTCTTACCACTCTTCTTTTTTGTGTTTCTGACTTTAACAAAGGACCAGCTTCTGCTTTTAAATCCAGCTCATGTAACTCTTCCTCTGCCATCCTCAATTGATTCTCTACATTACCAAAAATCTTTGTGCTCCATATCTTTAAATCTCCTTTCAATGCATATAACTTTCTCATAAATCGATACCCTGTCCATCCTTCAATTTCATTCTCTGACCTAGTCCTCCTAACCAGCTCTAAGAACTTGGGATGGAGTGTCCAAGCATTCAAAAATCTAAAAGGTCGAGGACCCCAATTTCTGTCATCTTCCATTAACAATAATAGACAATGATCAAATATACTTCTAGGCAGGCCCCACAGCTTCAATTCAAATTTTTCAAGCCATATAGGATTTACTAGAAACCTATCAATCCTGCTCCATGTATCACCTTCAAAAGAATTACACCAGGTAAAGTTTCTACCTAGCATTGGCATATCTAAAAATTCCATCCGATCAATAAATTCATTAAAATTATTCATCCCTCTGTCACTCCTTGTGCAGCCTCTTCTTTCACTGATCCTTAGAATTCCATTAAAATCACCTCCTATGCACCAAGGTGTATTAAACAATGGCTTTATATTAATAATCAGATCCCATAGTTGTTTCATTCTTATATCATCATTTGGAGCATATAAGTTTACAACCACACACTCAAATGATTGATGAAACACACCTGAAAAAAGAATAAAATTTCTGGTACTGCAACAATCTTTTAACTGGAATACTTCTGGGTTCCAAACACAAATTAACCCTCCTACACTCCTATCTGAATCCACCACCATAAACTCAAAATTTTTTTATGGCCATAAGGACCTAACAAAACAATCATTCATACTCCCCATCTTCGTCTCTTGTATCATAAGTAATTCAACCTTTTTATCAGACTCCAACTTCTTTATTTTTCCCATTTTTTCTTTTCTCCCTAATCCTTGCACATTTTATGACATAACCTTCATTGGCAACAATATCTAACACCTGCACTACCTTCGAGGATAGATCAATTTTGAGCCATCTCCACCCCTTTCGCAAAATTTTCAATTCTTTCTATATCCTTTTCTCTTAATTCTATGATTCTACTCGTTACTTCCTCTTCATTTCCTTCATAATCCACCCCCAATACTTTCCCAGTTCTAACTGACACTTGAGCTTCATGAAGAAGCATTTTCCTTCTACTAGACCCACTGCCTTATGATATTGATTTAGATAAGGCAACTGCTGCTGCTGCCTTAAAGATTGCTACCCGTTGAAGACCACTACCAAAACCCGTTGATTTTCTTTTGAATACTGAGACATCCTTCATTTTCCTGCTTCCTTTGGTCCCATCGCCAGAGGTTCGGATTTCATTCACTAACCCCTTTACCTTAATGTTATTTACTGGGCTTTAGCTCACTGTGTGTATGTGTATATATATATATATATGTAGGTGGGCA